CAAGAGCACCATGTTTGAAAATTAGAGATGTATGTTTGAAATATTGCAACATTGTATAATATTCTTTTTTATTTAGCATCATGAAACAACAATTTTTAATTGTCCTATGATGCTTGATAAAAGCAAACCTACATTATTGAATCATCAATCTGATGATTATCTATCTGAAAGTAATATAATTTATCTTGAATTAATTCAACCACCTAGTTTTACTAGTGATTATGATGATAGTTTACATCAATTTAAATTATTTTTTACAATATTTACTCCAAAAATACATGTTGGTATTAATGATGATTTATTTATTTGTCCAATGGAAGATCTCATTGATTGTAATGATTCGTATTGTGTACATGCAAATGCTCGTTGTAATGGTATAAATGAATGTCGTTCGAAAGCTGATGAAGAATTATGTACACGTGAAAAATCAAGTGCAAGATCTATTTATGATTTCTCATATTTCATAATCAATATTGGATATATATTTATGTTTATTATAATATTTATACTTTAACACAAGGACAAAGTTTTTCTTGATTATGACATCGACATGGTTGATCGAATTTACATCGGCAATGGAAGGCATATGATTTACCACAACCGACAACTGAATAACGACCAATAGGAATATAACCATTAGCATCAAGTTTTATTGTACCAATATTTGGTTGTCGACGAAGTGATGGTGTATTACGACGAAAACCTTTTATATTCAATAGGAAAATTAAGCAAATAATGATTATTTTCTTTCGTTTATTTTCATGTGAGAACATACCAAAAAGTCCGTTATAATTAACAACAGCTTTAGGATCACTTAAGAATAATTCATGACCACGAACTTCCTCAATTGAATGACCTAAAATTTCAATCGCTATTACTTGCTGTTTTTTTTTAGCTTTTTTTTTTTTCTTCACCTGAACCAAATTTATTTCGAAGTGATAAATAACGGTAACCATGGCCATTTGTATAAAATCGATCATGTACTCGACCTGCAATTGATTCATGAGCTGCGGACTAAACAAGAAAAACTCAAATTATGATACATTGTTTTAATAAGAAAATATTTTCTATACTTGTCCCGTTCCTTCTAATGCTTTTCGTACACCAAAAAATTTAAAATAATTATCAACATGACGATCTAATTGTGCATTATATGGTGGAATAACTGAACCTAATTTAGGATTAGCTATTGAATAGTCATTCGAAATATTCGATACTGCTTTAGAATCAAGAATAAAACTTCGTTCTCGATCAAATTGAACTTCAGGTGGTGGTGTTTGCGGACAACGATATAATTTATTATGACGATATGAGCTAGTAGCACGAGTTGTTGCTTGTCTTCTATCAGTAGATTTACATCGTCTTCTATTCAAAGATCCATCAGCTGTTTTACTTCTTTCTGGTTGTTCAAGTGTAGGAGAAGCCGTTGTACTCATGTTCATTAAAATTTTACTGCAAAATGTTAAGTTGCTTTGAATGCTTATGCTTTCGTGCAGTGGTGTGCACAATTATAAAAGAAAAAAAAATAACAGCAATCCTTACATAGACACGATCAAACTGCAACGATTACAACAACAAGATTGTTGCCGATAATGTATTTTATTGCCGACAGAGGAGAGAGAAAGAGAGCATTATAGAAGCATTTTTAAAAATAAAACGTTTTTTTTTTCTTGTATTTTATATGTTGACGCCTTCAGACGCCTCTTCAAAACATTGTGCTGTCAACAAATGTGAAGAGAAAAAAAATGCTAATAATGGTCTTTCAAACCATAAAATATTGTTTAAAGTTGATTGGTTATCAAGTTAATGTTAAAACAATAAAAATAGTTTGAAAGATAAGACTAGTCCTATGATTCATGATAATAATCTAATGTTAAGATAAATAAATCCATATTATACATGGTTTTCAAAGTAACATGAAAGTCTTCAATCAAAATTGTGTAAACAAATAAAAAAATGTATGATGTTGAAAGATTGTTATAGTTATTATTTGTAATATGTCCAAGTATTCAGTAAATACGAAATTTATATGGTTGAATTGTCTTAAGAACATTGCTTGCATATTGATACTTTGTTAAATATATTTTGATGAATAATCGATTGAACATCAAAAGATTCAACGCTGAACTTTATAAAGAATTTGAAACTATTACAAAATATCATCTATAGATATTTTTCTGATTAATAGTAAATATAACTAAGAACAAAAAAAAAAATTTGTTATTCTATTAGATCTTCTTTTTAAAAAAACAAAAATGAAGTAATTGGACGAGAGAATTTTGTGATACTCGATATAAAGGGAATATTGAAGTATATAGGATAGAAATTTGTACCGTTCATAGACGTCTTAGCAATAACACAGCATATACGTGATAGGCATTTTAGGTAAAATCTATCATTCATTACAGATCACGACAGATGCTTTAGCAACGCTTTCCCTCCCGATTTCCCACCTGCATCAGACTGTGGCAGACGTTGTTGATATACAATTAAAGCTTGCATATGAATAGCTTCTTGTTACAATAGATGAATTACGTCCTTATGTCATTTTCGAAAGAGAAAGTAAGAAAATGATGAAGAAATGTATCGCAAAATCGGTAGAATAAAACAATCTTACTGTGATTAACAAAAGTAGGGTATACCTGTTGCTGTCATTGGTCTTTTAATGAATAATAGATTTAGTCAGAATGTCCATGAATTATTTCTAAATATATCACAGATGAAGAACTAGATTAATATTCATTCTCAGAGAATCTCTCTGATGGATTGTTTTTATGTAAAAATATGATTAGGATGTTCAATAGTGTGATATAAAAGTCGCACACTGTTTTTTTACAAGATCAAATTTTGATTAGATTATACGATCAAGATTGTCCTTTTCTCACCATAAGAAAATATTATTCTAATTTTACTAGAGTACTTCAGCCTCCAATTCAGGTTAAAGATTGGTTTGTTTAATCATTTCTTCTGAAACAAATTGTTATTAGTTTACCACCATACTTGAATGTTTACTAGAGAATACTATAGACAATTCAGTGGTATAATATTACTAATAGATCATAAAGTTGAATATATGAAAAGTTTCAAAGAAAATATATGTGTAAAAAGTGTGACATAAGCTTTTCAAATTTAAATGCTTGACATATATGACAACAGATTTTTATAGAAAATGACATCTTTGAAATCTATCAAGTACAGTACTTATCAAGTGTAGAAGTGCTATTTTCAACATTTGTATATAATGAAAATTATTCAATACTATCCTCTTCTTCTATATTAATATCAACATCTTCATCTGCTTTTAGTCGACTTCACCATAATTTTTTTTCCGTTCTTAATATTATGCATAGATGTCTTTGACAAAGTATTCTCAGCATCTATGAGTAAGTATACTTCGTTTTCTGGCGATCTCATCGGATAGTCATCATGCTCGACATCATCGTTAGAGAACATTCAGTTTGTAAATCAATTTTCATTTCTTTTATAACTACACAAAGAAGAACAATTTATTAAATAGGCATTGGCAAACAATAACTACTATGTATAAGTACATATTCAAACAAGAAAAATAAAAGAAATACAATAGAGTAATAGAGAACAGTGTCAAGATAAGACAAGTGTCATAAATGCATAAAATCAATCATCGCTTTCATTTGTTAATAACTGTCTTTTTTTACAATAGGATTTATTGTAGTAATTCATAGCTTCCGTATGATAATAACCTTAGTACATAATAAATATCTTGTCTTCACTGTAAAAAATAGAAAAGAGCAAAAAACATTGAAATACTAAAACAAAATAAAATTTCAACCTAAATTTGAGATCAAAGAAGTATACTTTAATTTCTGGAACAAATAACTGAAAAATACAAGAGAAAAAGAGATAGATATTTTTGCAAATAATTTTGAATTGTCAATGAGAAGAAAAGTTACTCGAATATTTTAAACGATAGAAAAGATTGATAATAAGTTGTACAATCGATCATAAAATTTTCTTGTGATAGGTTTTTAGAATCGATGTATGCAATTTTTAATAGACAATAGTGAATTTTTCATTAATTTCAGTAATACTGTAATGCAGAATAATAGCAAAGTAGCTAATCAGCGTTATTCAGTAGACTAAAACTAATTATCTGACAATGATTTTACTTGCATACTTTAATCTGAAGGAAAACTTTGAAACAATGTTGTTACAACTTTGATATTAATTTTCACTTCCATATTTATTGCTCCTAGGTAAATTTCAATCAAAGACTTAGCCTTACTTTAAATAAAGTGTTTTTTTGTTCATCAAAAACATACACGCTTAAGATGATAAGAATATCTTTAAGAAAAATTGCAAATGCCTTGGCATTGTATGTGACGCGTAACTTATGCCATAGAAAAACTATATTAAATATTTTCTTATTTACATGAATTTTAACTTTCTGCATATCTTGATTTTATCTAATCTAGATTTCATTATTATAGTCTACAGTAATTCCAAACAAGACAGTTCATTTTATTATATTCCAGTACTATGGATGCCTATATACATCGTTTGGTACGTTTCATACTTTCACTCATTGGTTTAATTCCATCATTCATTTGTTTTCTTCTTTTTGCTGAAAAATTGAGAAATCAGTCATCGAAATCTTCATGATCATGTAATACTTATTCTCCTTTTCTGTAATTTCATTCTTATTACCACGGAATTACCATTCACTTTGATTTATTCTTATCAAGGTCATGTTCAACTTGAAAGTACACAGTTTTGCTCATTTTGGGTAGCCTATAATTATGGTGTATATGTTGCTGGTTTATTTCTTATGGCTTTTGAATCTATTGAAAGATATTTTCTTATTTTTCATGAAAGATTTGTACGTAAATGGTGTTTTATTATTCATTATCCTCCAATTCTTATTTGTTTTATTTGTCCATTAATATTTTATAATCTTATAGTCAATATCTATCCATGCGAGAATGTTTATTCTTATGTTGCATATGTTTGTGGAGGTGCTTGCTATCAATTTCAAGCAATTATAGATACTTTAGTTTATCTCATTCATGTAGTTTTTCCTACAATGTTTATAATATTTGCTACTATGATTCTTTTGTTACATTTAACATATCAAAAGCAAGCCATGAAATTAGAAAATACATGAAGAAAATATCGTTTGATATATATACAACTTTTACCGCTTTCAATGTTGTATTTTATTATTTGGATACCATTTGTCATTATATCACTTATTCGTCTATTTTATGATTCATTATTTTTACAAGATGTAATAATGCTTATAATTAATTATTGTCTTTATATATGTCCACTTGCTTCATCATTTATTTCTCTTGTTGGTTTGCCAGGGATACGACGGCATTTACTAAGAAATAACTGGAATAGGCCATGGATTACTCATACTGCTCAAACTCGTATTAGACCCATAGAATCACTCAATACACAATGTGGACAGCAGCACATTATGCCACGAAGAGAATATGACGAACAAAGTTTGTAATTAATGAATATTATATAGAACAATAGTTAGTATATGTTAATTGGAATTTTCTTTCAGTTATCTAGAATTTACAGAGTGGTAAAAACATTTCAGTTTGAATTGTATCTTTTTATGTTGTATTTTAATTCCAATAAAAGTTTCAATATCAGTCGTCATTTGATATTTGTCATGTCTATTATTTGATTAAAATTTTGTAAATATATTCGATTTTCATGGAATCTATTTGAAAATTATGATTAAGTGGACCTTTGAAAGCATAATCAACATGTAACATGATCGATAGTATTGAAAATGTTTAAAAATTGATGTGGTCAATGGACTTTCTATTTGGTTCGTGTCATCATAATAAATCAGAGTGATTTAGCATCATACCAACAAGCACTTGTATTAACTTATCAGTTTGAGTAAAAGACACTATTATAAACATGTTTCATAGTCAATAAATATCTCATTAAAGTTTTTTTATTCAAGAACATATTTTATTTATAGCTACCAGTTAAATAAGAATGAAGCTTCAAATAGAATTTATTTGCACTAAGACAAAAACTAAATTTAAACGAAGAAGAAGTAAAATACAAAGTTCACGAAAGTAATCGAAGTACAAGCCCGAAATCAATTAGTTTTTGCCAGATGGATGATTACTTTTCAAAGTTTATTTTCTTTCCCATGTAAAAATGTATGCAAAATTTAACGATTTAACGAAATTTAATGTTACCTTTCTGTCCTTGAAAACGCGTTAAAATAATATTAACGTAGAGAAACGAGTGAAAATTCGTTAAATTCATATTTTAACGCGTTTTCAAGGATAGAAAGGTAACATTAAATTTCGTTAAATCGTTAAATTTTGAATACATTTTTACATGGGTTGTCGATAATCAAAGAATTCAACTCATTAAATAGATGAAATCATACTATGACGATAAATATATTACTACGCAT